AACCAAATAAGGACTACTACCACCTTTACATTTTTGAGAGATGATTTTCCATCTGAAAACTAGTGACCTACCTGTCCAAGACAGGCCTCATTGACAAGCTCTGATGAATGCTTTCCATGCTCTGCTCAAAGCACCAGATGCCCAGGGAGACTGGTGCTTAGGATTTACCAAGATAATGGTGGCTCAATTTAAGTTAGTGACCATAATTTTATAAAATTTTTAGCAAAGCATCGCATGAAAGCATTCATCTTTCATTCTTTGATTTTATTAATTTCTAACAACAATTTGGCACAACATAACCTGCCGGCTGCCATTTAATTGGTGATTTTGATGCACACTTTATTGGTAAACATTTCTTAGACCATAGACAAAATTTTCTGTTGAAGTTGTGTGAAAAATTTGGTATTCTTCTTTTTCAGATTTGCTTGCATGAAACGTCATTAATATGAGTGCCTGGGACAATAATGATGCAGGCACAAGCCATCGCAATAACCTCGCAACTAAACCAACACCTTTGAGAAGTTTAGGCCTAGCAACGCCAAGTGCTGCCAGGTAATAATCTTTAATTTGCATTCAGTGATAGATTGCAATTACCATGGCAAACAAGATTTTTTTTAGAATTGGTTTATTTTTGATATCCTCATCTATTCAGTATTTAATATATTTTGTATTATATTGCTAGTATCCAAGATACTTATTAGTCTACTTATGGGACTCAGAAATGTACTTGAGGGAGAGTATGGAGTGCATTCAGTGATTGCATTCAAATAATTTGTTCTCGTGCTGAATTTCCATAACAATAAATATTTTTTTTATTGATTTATTAGTTATTAAGCCAGTTTTTAGTCAACTGGATGCCAGTACTATAAAACTTGACTAGAAAATTTCTCAGATAGACTCATAATTTTTCATTCTCATAATTTTTCATTCTCATAATTTTTAAAAATGGATCAGAGTTGACAATGTGAGTTTGAAGGCTGCATTTGATAGGAAACAATCCATATTAATTCCTGGTAAAATAATAAAGGGCAGAAATCATTTGCAGCCAGATTGTAGAGGGACACAAAATCCCAAGGAGATTAGGGTTAAGTTTTGTAGGATGTAATGATGTGCACAAACAATCAAAAATTATATATATATGTGCACAAAAAATTTCTGGATTTTGTGCTAATTGGGATAAGTTTCAAAAAATTGTTATATAAAAATATGGTGGCTTCTTCTTACCTGCATGAAAGACAAATTACAAATATTTTACTTCAGTTGAACATTTTCAAATTACTGAAAAATACCCCCGAGCTTCATACTTATACCTCATCTGGTTGAATGAAGAAAAATTTTCATATTTGCACTATCTAGGCCACAACCACGGTGACAAACCAGTGATTTTCTAGAATCAATTCATTTTTAATTTCCTCATGATTTAAACCTATATCTTATGTATGATAATGCTGGGATCTATGATTCTTTACTGGTCTACTTATAGGAATCAAAAATTAACTTGAGGGAGAGACTACAAAACTCTGCTTTGACACTATGGCCACAACTAATGCCACATTCTCACTAAGGCCATAGTACTCCTATAAAACATCTGAAGCTGAAATTCTGTAGAACTAGTGGGAGCCTATTATTTAGATTTTGCCATCATTAACGTTCAGGGTTGGCAATGATTAAATCAAAATGATTAAATCACTTGATTTTTTTATAAAAAAATCATGATTTTTTGATTTTTTCGATTTATTTAATTTTTTTGATTTTTTCATATATTTAAAAATTTTGAGTGGCAGTCTTTAATTTATTTTGAGGCATTGTTATTCATGGTTTAGTATAAATGTACTATGAATGATAAATTGGTATATAAACTTGTTGCCTTTAGTGTGTATTAGGTTCCAATATTCAAAACCGTGCTAATCAAGGGATTGCTGTAATAATATATCACTTAAAAAACCTGGTATTTGAATTTTCAATTCATATCACAAGCCTAATTTGCTGAACAGAGAAAAATAACAAGAAAATTGTTGATAAGAAATACTCTCTGGTCTTCAATCAAACCTGCATTAAAGAACAACTTCAGCCAAACTACACTAACATATATATATATATATATATACAAGTAATGACCAGAGAATGCATTATAGTTTTCGAGGAGTCAAACAATTCTTTAGAGGACATTGGTAGATCAAAAGGCAGATTTAGCAAATAATAATAATATATTAACGTTTCAAATTCTGCAGGGGCGCCCAATATTAACCAACCAACAATTACTGGCCAAATCCAGCTATCTTTTTTTCAAACTACCAAAATTGTGTAAACTTTGAGATAGTTTTCAGAGCCATTTTCCATTTAACATTTCCTTGTTGTATCCAATTTACATGTATTATGTACTTATGTACACCAAAAATTTCATTCTTCAATGCTTCTATTAATTTGAAAATGAATGATGATACATTTGAAATGTTGTTAAATATATTATAAATCCTTGCTGAGACCTGCTTTTTGATCTGTTAATGTCATGTGAAGTTTTAATTTCTTGCAAATTGGAATATAATGCATACTCTGGCCATTGTTTGTACGTTGTTTATAGGAAAATTAATTTTCATTCATTATATATACGTCCATGAATTTAAATGAGTACAAATATTGACCAGAGAATGCATTATATTCCAATTTTCAGGGAGGGAATCAAAAATTCTTTTGATGGTGTTAATAGATCAAAAAGCAGGTGTCAGCAAGTAATTATAATATATTTAATGACGTTTTGAATGTATCAACATTCATTCTCAAAGTACAAAAGCATTGAACAACAAAATCTTGGTGGACACAAGGCACAAGCACATAATACGTACACATAATCTATTGACTGCGTATTAATGCTAACCGACCAATGATAGCTTAAATCCTCATCTATGGGGAGTGAACTCCAGCTGTCCATTTACAAACTACCAGAATTGTCTGAGCTTTGACAGTTTTCAAAGTAATTTTTCACTTGAAAAATTTTTGTGTTACAGTATATCCTATTTACATGTATACTGTATTATGAGCTTGTGTCCTCCAAGATTTCATTGTTCAATGCTTTTGTACCTTGAAAATGAATGTGGATACATTCAAAACATTAAATACTTATATTATATGTACTTGCTGAGACCTGCTTTTTGATTAGAAATTTGAAAGCAAAGAAAACACCACAAAAATTTAGCATATCTCTTTTGAAAACGTTTTGGAGACCAGCTCCATTGTCAGTTCGATAAATCTAGAACACAGATGAATGCAGAAAATTAGTTTGGAGTTAATAAAAAAACACACACAGAAGTTAAAAACCTAAATTTGCAGACAAAGGGCAGAATAATAAAGTAAGTACCTATCTATTCACAATTTCTAATGGATAAGAACTATAGGCAGCATTTAAACTAGGCTTCTCTTTAAAAATATACAATGATTCCAAAATACGCAGATCGGAAGCACCAGAACTATAAGCTGAAACCTTAAAGTCTGTGTCGGACACTGGAACGTTGCACTGTTTGGCATGAGTGCGCACAGCCAAATGAGGAGGGCGCAATAGTAACTGACCAGTCCTATAACTCCTACCTCTATGCTCAGTGACCTGAGTGTAAAAGTTGCGTGCCGTCATTCCGACGTACGCAAATGCACATCGTGCACAACTAAATTTATAAACTAGGGACGATCGCATATGAGGAGGAAGGATATCTTTGTACCTAAAAAACGAACCCATTTTGAAATTATTCACCAGTAAGATACGAAGATTATTTTCCGGGAAGTATTTCATAAACAAAACTTTTAATTCTCTTGACATAACTTCGGACGCATGGCCAAAGTATGGAAGAGAACAGTAAACAACTCTTCTACCATCAGGTTCTGGAACAACTTCACTGTATCGCTTAGACATGAATTTCTTAATTTGGGTAAACACCAAGCCAGAAGGAAATCCATTAAGCGAGAAGATATTGCGCAAAAATTCAAATTCAAAATGCATGGAATGAAAAGTCGAGCATATACGAAAGCTGCGGTGTAATAGTGTTTGAAGCCCGTTTATCTTGAATCTAAAAGAACAAAAACTAAAAAAGCTTCTAAATTTGTCAAAATTACCAAACCAATCTCTAAAACTGTTTTGAAAATCGAAGATAAAATCAATAGCTTTCTGCGAAAACTCGAGGACTTGTCTGCCTTCTCATCTGATATATACTCTAAACTTTACGTCTCCGGTTCATGCCCTGGGATTTTATATGGCTCGCCTAAAATTCATAAGTCGGATTTTGCCTCTCAAAGTTTCAATTCCTACAAATTTTTGCCGCATATAATGCCCCTAGTTTTAAACTGGCTAAGTTTCTGGTTCCTGTCTTAAACTGTCTTGCAACTAACCATTATACAGTAGACAATTCGTATACTTTTGTTGACCGCTTGAAAGATTTTACTGATCTTTAGGGCTTAACAATGGCCTCTTTTGACGTAGAAAATTTATTTACAAATATACTGCTTTTTGAAACTATAGAGATCTGTCTAAATACTCTGTTTAAGGATNTTTTTGTGGTGTTTTCTTCGCTTTTAAATTTCTAGTGAATCTGCCATTAAAACAATCTAGTGACTTTTTTACCTGCCTTTTGATCTAATAACATCATGGGAAGAATTTTTGATTCTCTGAAAATTTGAATATAATGCATTCTCTGGTCATTATTTGTACACATTTCAACAAGAAAACTCTGCCACCATCTAATGCCAAGTATTTGGGTATTTGTATAAATGATTTGATTTGATTTTAATAGCTCCTGCTTCTGCCTAGATTATATAATAGAATAATTTATGGTTTGTTTAACATGTGTTGCTGCAGCATAAAATTTGTTTATTCGTTTGAGGATGGTATTATGTGCATATTGACATCAACTTCATTTTTTTGGCAACTTAAACCCCCAATTATACATGCATTTTAATTTTGGCCGAGCTGAAGGTTATGTTCAAATACCAGTTGAGTATGGATAACTATCACTGTTCTCTATTGCATGTAATAGTGAAACTGAAAAGGCGGTCAAGTGTGGATGACATGGCCCTGAAAGCACGACTCAAGGCAGTTGGGCGCTTCTCCACAAGCTCTGGTGGTCGTGTTTCAGCAATCGGAGCCGGTTGTGGTACGGCTGGCCCCACCCCAGCTAAGCTCAAAGCCACTCCAGTACGAACTGTCCTCGGTCCTGTCAACTATGCTGCTCCGGCCTCAACTCAGTCCAAGTGAGTTGATCCTGGCTTTAACTTCAGCCATCAATTGGGTTATGATGAAACCTTTTCTGTTCATAATGTCTTCTCTGATACCTTTGATTTTTTTTTAATTTCATGTGTGCAAGATTTCAAGGTGGATTCATTTCAAAATTTTCTAATTAGAATTGTAGGCATTTCAATGTCTAGATATGTAAACAAGGCATTCTTACTATGTAAATAAATGATTAAACAGAAGTTTTTGAACTGTGTATTTAACATGCAAATATGTTCATTTGCAAAGTATTCGAGAGACTTTTGATACACATTCCTCCCAAGATATTTACAGTTCATAAACAAGTTTTGCAAAGTTTTGAATATTTATATGAATTGTTTGTCTGATACTTCTCAGCTCTGTAGCTCAGCATTGTTTATGACAGACGAATGAGCTCAGTGAGTTGCCAAAGCCAAGCAAGCAGCCGGCGTAGGGACACGAGGCCCTTCAATAATGCAGCCTACAAAAAGCATTGCATTGACACCATATTCACCTTCCTCACTGAGAATGGCTATTGCAATGTGGACTCTAGTCTTCTTCAGAGGCGTGTTCTCAGTACTCCTTCTAATAAAGATTTTGCTAGCATCTTTACGGTGAGAATTTCACGTCTTTGTTCAAAGCTAGTACATTAACAGTAGAAGCACTGTGAGGTCAAATGTCCTTGTATTGCATTTTAAAATAGGCATAAAATGTAAATGTTTCACTTGAAAGTTTTATGACTTTTTATTGTTATTATATATCTAATTACGTGATAATAATTTGAAACATCAATTGTACAGTACAATTGAGTGCTCTACCTCCATGCATGATTAGGTCATTGTGACCTCATAATAGATTTACTTTGCTATTATTTTTTACAAAACATTGTACAGACACAAAGAACATTTAAATTCCATGTTACAAGACTTTACACATTAGTAGCTTGTGCTCAAACTTGTCAGAACAAGTTTGGAGAGCATTCCATGGGTAACACATGGAAAGCAGGATCAAACAAACAGTATTTACATACTCTTCTTCATCTCTTAACTACAGCATGTTGCAGAAGTCGCTTACCGATGCTCAAATTAGAAACTGTGTAGCATAAAATTAGTAAAATGTGCAATTAAGAATATTTAAGATGTTATTCCATTCATCCATAGCAGGTTCCAGAGGCAAAAGAGTCATTTAACCATTTTTAACGCGTGAGGTCTAAATGACCTTGCGCAGTGTTTCAAGGTGTTGTACAACTGCTGTGCTTCTAGTATTAAACACAGGAGAAACTTTCTGTTTTATATTAATAACTTTGTAATCATTGAATAATGTTTCATGGAATTTTGGAAGATTCCTACAAGAATAATATTTTAATATGTGATAATCCCCAGTTTTATTAATAATAATCTTTTATTTGCAGTTCATCTATGGGATGATTGAACCAAATTTTCAGCTGTCATCCCGGTTTGCTGATGAAATACCAATGAGGCTGAAGCACTTGTCATACCCTTCACAGATTCCTAAGAGCACTTTTGCTTCCGGTAAGAAAGCTTTTCAATTCATCTTGCACTTTATTTTGTGTTTATATGACAATATATCCTGCTGAGTGCTCTTCTGTTATCTGTACTTAATACCAATTTTTTATTTTATGAATCTGATTATAAATTAGGAATTCAGAATTGTGGCTGTATATATATGTAATGTATATATTTATGTAATATGTTAGATCTGTCACAAACCTTTTGAAGGCTATTCTTTTCTATTCCATGCAACCCTGCCTTGCCTTTTCTCTCCAATATTTGCTCCTAGTTGAAGATTAAACTAATGAATGTTGGTGCAGTTGGATCTCCTCACTCATGGCCCACATTGCTGACCATGCTGGCATGGATGTGCAACCTCGTGCAAATGACGAGTGGCCTGGTGGTCGAGGAAATCGCCTACCCAATTGATTTTGATAATGAAGATATTTCTATCTGGGAGCATCTCAACTGCTACCTGGATGCTGCATCTGAACCCGAGATACCTGGACAATATGAACATTGCCTCATGGTGAGTGTTTCCGCCTCCTACACCTTTTTTGGTGTAGGTATTCCTCATTTTGTGGTGCACCTTGTGTGATTTTACAGGGATATTCTGAAGATTTTGTCTTGCGACATCAACATATCTAGTGATCATTTTGAAGCGCAATAGTTTTCTTGTACTTTCATTTGGCCAATACAGGGTTGGTACCGGTCATGGACAACCTGGAAAGTCATGGAATTTAATTTTTCATTTTCCAGGCCTGGAAAGTCATTGGATTTCATGTCATGTCTTGGAAAGTCATGGAATTTGCAAGTGATATAAGAAAAAAAATGAGTGTTTTTCTGTGCAGCGTGTGTTTGTGCAGTCTCTTGTTTCCTGCATTCTGATTGGCACAGTCCCTTGTTTCATGCATTCTAATTGGTTCTCGTAATCTCCAATCAGTTGCATTCGACAACTTATTGATCTGCAGTGGCAGCGTTCCATCTCCAGCATGCAATTTTTGCATCACCACGCCTGGATAGTGTAAATTCCATGACTTGTGGTTAAGAATAGAAGCTTATTGTGACTGGCTTGCTCGCCATCCAAAGCAAGAAAGTATGGCGATATGTACATTGTTCTTGAAAGACTTCGATGTGTCAAATATGGGGGAAGCAGCTTTGAAGAGCCATGCTAAAGGCAGCAAACACCAAGTTAGCTAAGCAACACAGTGAAGAGAAAAGCAAAGCGCAGTCACGCATTTCCGATTTGTGGCCTGCTGACAGCAATGGAACTGCAGTTTCTTGCTCCAAAAGTGTATCAGGGAATAGGTCGTTGCAAAAGTCAGCACGCATCAGCACTGTAGTGTCTACTGCCACTGTGAATGTAGAGACGGAGAGCAGGCCTGTATCCTCTGCCAAAGCAAACACCAATGGCGAACTGACCAGCTTTGTAACAAAGATGTCCTGATGTCTGAAATTTGGTGGGCATTGAAAATGGTGATATCTCACTTTTCATTTACAAGCACTTTAGAGATGAATCACAACATTGCAGTGAACTCAACGCACAGTTTCAAGCATTTTCAACTTTTGATCAACTGGACACTTTTTGGCATGCCATTCTGTCAAAGAGCACCTACAAGAAGCTTTGGTTGGTAGTGCAGATGCTCATGCTCATGTATCATGGCCAAGCCATGGTTGAAAAGGGGTTTTCGTTCAACAAGGAAATCATGACACATAACATGAAAGAACAAACGGTGGTTGCCCTGTGTGCTGTGGTTGATCATGTTGCACATGTTGGTGGTCTGGACAAGATGACCATCACCAAGCAGATGCTGCTTGCAGCTGGCAGTGCCAAAGCAGCCTACAATAATTATTTGGCAGTTGAGAACGAGCAGAATGCGAAGGCCCAGAAAACCCAGAAGAGGAAGGCTCTGTTGGATGAGTAGATGAACTGTAGAAGAAGAAATGGCGTACGGATGAAGGCATCAAGGCGCTTGAGCAAGCAGCAGATGAATATGCAGAAGCAACGGAGAGAAAGGGGGATTTGAAAATTTTCGCAAAGTTCAACGCCATGAGGCAATCTTTGAAAACAAAGCAACAGAAGCTAGACACTCTTGAACTGAACATAAAGAAAAGTTGATGAAATAGCTGCCAATCGAATGTTAGGGTAGTGGTGTTGAAGAATGTTCTGAACTGTATTGACATTATCATGTACAATCTTGTGTGCATTACTCAATATTTGTTGTGGTTTTACACTTTTGAATTCGTAATAATACCATTGCGGGTTTGATTTTCAGATTTGTGTCATTTATGTTCCTCTGTGTCTGCCTACTCTATGCATTTACACGTTTGCTATTTATCAATTGTAGGAGATGATAGAATATGTACGGTTAGTCTATCAGTCACGCCAAACCTGTCGTATACGAGTCTTGGAAAATTATATTGATGGTCATGGAGAGTCATGGAAAAGTCATGGAATTCTTTTTCTAAACACCAGTACGAACCCTGCCAATAGGAGATTTTGTTAATTGAATGACATGTGCAGGTAAAAACTTACAAGTCCGCAGCTAAAAGTATACAAATTACTGATTATGGTATGTTCAGAATTTTTGAGTTGATACTGATGTATCCTATTTGTATGCAGCAAGTTTCATTTTAGAACTGAAGAGGACCGTAACCTGTCCTTTTGTGGTACGGTATTTCATGAAGTTTTATCCCAGAACTGAAGGATATATATAATATATGTCTGTAACTTGCTCATTTGTAGTATTTACTGAAACATTATTTCCAGAAGTACAGAGTATGTATGTAACTATCCCCATGTGGCATATATTATTGCAGAACTACAGGGAGGCTGTGCAGCAGCAGGCTGGTGTAGACGGGGCCAGATATCGGCAGCTTGAAGAAGAGATTCAAATGATGGCGCTACAGGAGCAGCAGCTCACGCTCGACCGCAGTCCTCTGCAGCATCTGCAAATAAGGAGAAATGAGGTAACATAGCTTAGAAGATAATTTTTCTACCCGTAAACCATAACAAATAATTACTCAGCCCGCAATGAACAGGCATCCGCTACTTGGTGTTCAAATCACAGTCATTTTTTATTTCAGAATGAATAAGTTGAGACGCCTACTCTTGTTTACATTACATTCACTGTATTAAAACTACACGTGGCTCTTGATACTGTCATTAAGAAGCTAATAATACAGCCTGAGATCTATCAACAATTCATTTCCTTCTTGGCAATTTGCTTTAATTATGCCTCATCTTATTAGTTCCAGAATTTAACATGTCTCAATTGTTATTTTATGTATTTTTATTGCCTTATTTAATTGGCAGCTTGAAAGTGACGAAGCAAAGCTCGACGACTTCAACGCCAAGATGAGGCTAAAGCTGAAGATGCTGGATGAGGAAAAGCAAAAGGCTCTCCTGCACGTGGTTTCTCTGCACTCACAGAAGACAGAGGTGAGCTCAAGGACTTGGCTGTCATTTGTATGTTATCGTCGTAACATTAAGTTAGTTGTCGTTTATTCTTTTCTGATGACTGCTCTGAGTTTTGTGCTATAATCATAAACAATTGCCTGGAAATCATTTGTTGGATTATGTGATTATAAATAACATGAAAATTGAAACTAGATTGCCTGTGGTAAATCTGTAATAATTTTTTCAGCTAGTAGAAACCGTCGACCGCCTGTCGGCCATGAAGTCATCACAGAAATATTCTCAAGAAGAGCTTTTGTGCATCAAGAACCACGCGCGCACTTCACTTGCTACGCTGCAACAACTCCAGGAACATGGCAAACGCACTCAAAATAAAGTCAGAAAAATTTTAAAATCCTTTAAATATTTTTTTTCTTATCAGTACATTGGAGAGTTTTTTGAGTACTTTTTGTCGTACTTGTGGTGTTTTGCTATTTGTTTATATGTTTAGTTGGTGTATATAACTTGTTAGGTGTTGCTGTGGTGTTGGCTAAAATATGACTGGTTTGTTGCCATTCACAACTTACTTATTATATATGATCGTTGGTATGGTGATGGCTGTTCGTACGAACACAATTGTCCTTATCTATGCCTTCATGCAAGACGGAAGCCATTACAAGCTCGAGTAAATAACAAGCAGGCATTAAAACCTTACCGCAAGCAATGCACTGTCACTAATGAAATCACACTCGACTTTACATGTTTGCTAAAAGAATTTATTCCAAAGATGAACCAAGTATAGTAAAAACAAGAATGACACGGAGAAAATTTTTTTTAGGGCTTACTCATTTTAGCGCATTTTCTCATTTATGGAAAAAATGCACTATTGTGCTTGCCATGACCGTCCGTCTGTCTGTCCGTCCGTCTGTCTGTCCGTCCGTGACTTCACGTTTTCGTCGGCGAGAAAATGCGCTCTCTGTCACTCACTGCAGTGAGTACCGAGTTATATTTTTTATCAGTTTTTGCGAATACTAGTGTTAGGCTAGAGTCTTAAACGAACGTATTTACCCATATTGACGAGTATGTTTAAATGATGTGATGTCACTTTACAGATCTATGATCTGGAGCTGGGGCTGTGCAGACGGCAGGTGACGCTCTCAGCACTCATCCAGGAGCACAACGCGAGTCCTGCCGCGTCCGTCGTCGGCCCTCTCGTCAACGGCCGCGTTGACCGCCAGACTGGTTAGTGCCTTTTAGTTTTCACTGCGTTGCTGTTTTATGTTCTTCACCATTTTATTGATAATTACGAATTCATATGTAAAAAATGTCTCAATTTGTCACTTTCTTTTTGTAGGTCTGACTTGTGTTTTCCTGAATGCTCGAGTCAATCCTCTGGAATGTTGATGTTAAAATAAATCCATCAAAAGTAAACCATAAATAACCGAATTATATATCACATTCGATCTTCTTGTCTGTTGAATTTTCCAAAGCGTTCTTTCTCCTGGACAATTCCTTTGAATAAAGTTTGTTCTGACAAGACTTTTTGAATGAAGTGAATGCTAACATCGTTGTAAAGTTTAAGTTTCAAAAATTTTTGAAAATCCTGATATTTCTTTCACTAAACCAGCAAAATCGATTTCTGAAAAAGTGTTCACTGGCTTTCTTTGTACTTTTAATTCTTGGTTTATTTGTTATTTGATATGTAAGTGCGATCTCATTCAAAAATATTTAAGAACTAGAGCATCAACAGCTTGATTTTTTTACGTCAGAGTTGTGATGACATAATAATTTTCTTTCTGCTCGATCTCACCAGAGTACCAAAATTGCGAAGATCGCTCTGTTTGTGCCTAATTTGAATGCTGTCGAAGAGGAAAACGTTTAGCCTCAATGATGTCTTACTTTTTATTTCTATGTTTTTTTAATGAAGTTGCAATTATGACAACAATGAACGACATCTGTGAGCAGCTTCAGACGAGCCTTCAGACTCAGAACATCCGATGAAGCGCAATGACGTAGCATCTGCTCCTCTGCTCGTAGAAGATATTGTGGAGCTAAGCGACAAGTTGGCGGAGGAGTTGCGTGTGGCGCGCGCCAAGGTTGTGGAGGCGTATGCGCTGCGCCGCAAGCACGAAGAACAATGCCGCAAATACGAGCAGATCGTACGTTTGGCATACCGCGCAATGTGATCATGCCATCAAATGAATTTTACACTAACATTAGGAGGGCACCGGTCAATTATCTTCATTTTTTATATGAGATAGTTTCAGTTTTTGTTCATTTTCTGTTACTGTACGAGTCTATTTGTGCCATTTATACAGTTCTGATAAAAGCTGATGATGCTAATTTAATTTCATGCTAAATGATATGATGCAGTTTAAAATTCCAACGATCTTAGTTGAAAGTAATTTGTTCCTTTAGTAGTTTATATGATATAAAATATTTCGTATATATAATATAATAGTATGTTCGTGGTTGTAAGTAGCGTGACTACTTCAACAGGTGGAAGATAAGAAGCTCCAAGGAACGCAATTAGAGATGCGCATCAGAAGTGCTGAAGAAGACATATGCTACTCGCTGCAAGAGATGAAGACTAAGGTCAGTATCACTAGTTCTTGCAACTGTACCATGTAGCACTAGAACCGAGGCGAAAGTGCTAGTTCAATTGTGTGAAGTAAGATCTCACATGAAGCATTCGCAACTTCTCATTTTTAATCTGTATTAAGTGAATTTTGCTCTCAAATATCTGGCTTGAATGATGCAATAGTAAAAGGTCTGAGACGCAAGAAGCACAAGAATCGCGAGCGCCTGTCACTGGACTCTCCAGACTGAGCTGTGGTTTGAAGTTATGCCACAGCTTTTGATGAGAGTCCTACAATTTTCTTCTCATTTCTTGTTTTAGAACTGTCAATCCTCTGACTACATTTCTACCTTTTCATCACTTCCTGCCTTGTTCGAGTTTTTGTGCTCCTACGTGTCTATGAACTGAACATTTTACTGATTCTTACGCATTAAATTAAGAAGTTAAGTAAAACTTTGGCCAATACTCACCATTTGTTTGTTTTCTCTCCGACATACACTCTGCTTCTTGTCGCTTTTCCTACTCGCAACGTCGCGTATCTGCCACCAATTCTATATTGGCTTCTATTTCTCTCAATATTCCAAGAATAATTTAATATCTTTGTTTGGTTTTCCTTTCCTCACCTTTTCTTCTCGTAAATGTATCTTTATAATTATTTTTCATTTTTTCTAAATTTAATTTCATTTCCTTCCATGTTTTTTTCCACCCTTGCCTCCTTTTTCCTTCTTTTCCCCATTCTTTGTCTCCGCATTGCGCCCCAACACATACAGGAGGAAGCGAAGCTCGACGAGCTGGCGGCACAGCAGCAACAGCTCTCCTGCCGGCGACGGCGAGCGCCCAATACGGAGCTTTATGCGTTACAAGAGAAGTTACATCAACGCGGCCAGCAGTGAGTATATGATTTGGTCTACTTGCTGATCTTGTTAATTGTGGTCCCCATTCTTTGTCTCCGCATTGCGCCCCAACACATACAGGAGGAAGCGAAGCTCGACGAGCTGGCGGCACAGCAGCAACAGCTCTCCTGCCGGCGACGGCGAGCGCCCAATACGGAGCTTTATGCGTTACAAGAGAAGTTATATCAACGCGGCCAGCAGTGAGTATATGATTTGGTCTACTTGCTGATCTTGTTAATTGTGGTCCCACCTCGTTGGATTGACATGTATAACTGCTTGGGCAGTGAGTTGATAACATTGCTTATAGCTGAAATGATAAGACGAATCTCACCTCATGAAATAAATAGGTATAAAGTGGTTGGGTTTGAAATTTTTTTTATTCATTGATGGGAATCAGCCGCTTAGAGATTGCTGAACGGAGTGCAATTTTTTTTATCTGTCTTCTCTTCTACAGAATCGAAGCGCGGAAGGAACAAACGCTTAAGATGGCACGGGAGGGGGAACGTACCATCTCCCTTATCACGACCAAAATAGAAGAATGCATTGCCAATAACCCCATAAAAAATTTCGCGGCGAATATAAGTCGGATCATCAAAGATACTGGCAAAAAAGAAGGGGGTGCTTGATTTAGTTTGCCTCTTTGCTAAGTATTATTTAAAGGAACTAGTTAGACTGCAATATCTTTATTTACTGTCAACTAAAATAGACATAATAATAATAATAATGTACATAACCTGAGCGGATGTTGGAACTGGATTGATCTGATCCTAGTACCGATGTGTTTTTTTTTTTTTTCTAAGCAGAAAGTAGAGATTTTCAGTGCAAATAGTGCCCTTTAAATTCTATAACAACCCCTAATATGGACGTTATTACTCATCGAGAATAGGGAGTCTATTTTTACGTCGCTTTGTATATTTTTTAGCGATTTCGTGATTTACATTGAAATTTTGATGATTATGTTTATTTCAATGTACTTACAATTTTTTGTGCATTCTCTGCCTTTTGAGTGAATGTCACTTCAAGAATGTTCGAGTTACATGAAAACGTTCGACCGTCTCGCGACAATGTGGCATATTTCTCGTCAATACCACTGAAAAAAATATCCCATGATTGAAGGATTGTTCCTATCGGATTTTTTTAACTCATTCGTTACGTGTACTCTAGTTTTCTCACATTTGTACGCTAGTTCGAATACAAATATTTTCATCTTGCAAGACTATTTTCTTTACAAATTCCTGCAGGTGAATAAAAGGAAACTCAATTCTTATGCTGAAAATGTGAAATTGTGATTTTCTCGCTGTCGCTATACTCGTTTTTTTCCGTGCTTACATAGTTATTGAAGGCAGAAATGTTGTAGTATCATGCCGCATCTTGTAATCTACACGGGAGCTATACAATTTAATGAGGCAGGGTGACCCAGTGGATACAGTACAAAGTACGAAGATGGAAGCAGAGCCTAATAAATGGTGTAACCGCGAAATTTTTAGATTACATACGTACTTCACAATTCGATTTATTTTTGAGCTTGAGTAAAAATCTGATGTAGAACAATATATGGAAGGAATGCGTCTGAAGCCAATAGATATGTTTACGACAATTGAATGAAATGTGTCTCAATGTATTTGCTTCTGAATGGGAAGAGATAATATGTTATGTTGTTAATATGATATTATATATACGAAATTGAAGATGGAAAATAAATTACTGTATTTTTTTGTAAATTGTAACTAGGGTATCATCATGTTCCACATGACTCGTTGTCCTCCAGTTTATTGAGAATAATAATGTAGTTCGGTACCATCAACCATGGTTCGGTACATTCACAATCTTGCGGCAACTTTTCATATCCGACCTGAGACGTATACGTACGGTTTGCTTCTTTAGACGCGCATTTTTTCCGACTAAAGAATGACCTCATAAAACAAAAATGAAAGCATTTTTTCAAGGGAGCCCCTCCCCCTTTAATGATAATAATAATAGCGGTTTCAGCGTTTAGTAGGCCGTAGGCCTGTCGCCGATTCTTAACATCGCAGAACATTCACAGCATTTTACAGTCTCGAACTCGCGACTCACTGCTATAATTCTGTTGTGCTTAACCGCCCGGCCTCCTTGCCGATTCTGACCAGAAACTGGCGCACAGTGCTGGGATCAAACCCGCCCCTCTCTGCGCCAATCTTTGCACTCTGAACGGTAACCACAGGGCCACCATGCCCCGTGATATACATGTAGCCAACGGCTGCGCCCACTAATGGTAAAGGTCACTGCCGCCGGCCCGCCGCCGCTCTAGGCGGCCCTTGAGCATGGTCACGAAGCACCTGTCCTCGTGAAAACATGTTGCCCCAAATCTGAGCGAACAGATTTGCATTGCATGTTTGGCCATTCTGTACCAGCGGATTTTCTTTTTTGGCATACATATTTGGTGCCCCGTGACATGGTTGAACTAATACAAGTTTGACCCATGCGCAGCCGCGCCTTGAGGATGTCATTTGTTATTCCACCGTGATGTCACCTTGGTCGTTGTGACGTCACTTTGAAGCATCACCGTGTGATTCAAACTGATTTGTAACACCTGTTTTGCTTAAAATAAGATTAGTTGCAATAGCTAAAAAATTTTGGGCTAATTTAAACAAGTCAGTTTTTTTCATGGTTGAACTAATACAAGGTTTTCCCTAGTGCAAGAGCGACCTGCGGATGTCATTTGTTATCCCAACTGTGACGTCACCTTGGCCCTTGTGACGTCACCTCGTGACGTCGAGGTGACGTCAAACTGGTTTGTAACACCGGTTTTACTTGAAATAAGACTAGTTGCATGCAGCCAATAAATTTTATTGGGCCATTTTGATGAGGTCAATTTTTTCAAATGCTTTCAAAAATGACATAAAAACAATGTGTTGATCTACACTATTTACATTTTGTGCCCACAATGACCCAATGACGTCAATCTAGAGAACGGCGAAACTGAAGATTGATTTCGCAGAACGGCGAAAAATCATCATCAGCGTTGATCAACCTTTTATTAGTTCAACCATGCCCCGTGCCGACGGTCGACGGAACCTATCGGTAAACACCTGAATAATTGCCTAGGCATGGGATGAAGCGCGAGGGGATGCATGCCAGAGGCCAGCATTTCCCAAGACCAGCATATCTTTCATCCTCCTTTCCGTGCGGAGGCTAAGCCTGCTAAAGGGAAGAGTAGACTAAGGGATTATATGTTAAAAGCCAATAATACAAATCCCCTTCATGGAAATTAACCAGCAAGCTAATGAGAAGTAGGCCACCAATACAATCGCTCTACGCCGTACTGAAAACCGTCCACCAGCTCTTCTCTTCCCATGCCGTCTAACCTAATCACGATTTTTCATTTTTGGTACCTAAGCAACTCCCTACGCCATACCGCTGTTGATACACTGCCAGCACTCCAGCCCCAGCCCGTCCGTTCGTCGCAGCTGTTTTCCCCCGGCATAACTCTACCTCCAGTCCTCCACGCATACCCCGTCTCTCCGCCTTTTTTCCACTGTGCAGAGAGTGGATGAATATTGCAAGATCTTTGGCGACGCTTCAGTAGCAAAATTTACGCCTTCAGAAGATCTTGCCGACACATTTAGATTGAAATTCTTGCATTTAATATATTTGTCAGTCTTTGGCCAACTATGTTAAAAAGTAAGGTTTCCAGTATGTTGGATGGATCAAGATGCAGTGAATCTTGTCCGGAAATCAGTTGCAATGAGTTCCTGCCAAAAAAAATGTAAACATCAAGTTTACAAGTACGTAGTTGCGGTCACATTAGAGCGGTCAGCCGGTCAGACTGCATTATCACTGTGATATCACATGTTCAGTTGACACTTGCTGTACAATCAGACTGCTTTTAGGGTAAAATTAGTTATTTGGGGTAACATGTGCAAATTGTGCATGCAACCTTGTAAATAAGTTTGTGGCTTGTAAATAGTTTTTCATTACTCAGGGTAAATGGCTTTTCATTAAAAATTACCCGGCGACGCATCTATAAATTACCTGGCGACGCTTAGGGCTTAAAAACCCATATATTGACGACGCTGCATCCACCCTCTGCACCCTGGCCTTTTTTCACTGACTGCTGGACGGCTTTTCTTAGTTTCTGCTCACTTGACTGCATTACGCTATGAAAACAGGATCTATACGACTTGTAAACTAACCTAACCTAACTTAACGTCTTAACCTAACCCAATTCGCCTGAATTCGGATAAGCATCAAAGGTCTGCGAGAAAAGCCTCTAGTTAGTCATGCGATAATGGTGGAGAGTTGGGGTAAGTGTGGGGAGAAGAAGATGCTGGGGGATAGTAAGGCAGGGAAACAGTGATGCGGGGTTAACGTCTTACGGATTAAGTAAGGTGATGACGCATTACCGTTTGGTACAGTTCACATTTGCGACAATGCAGTGTGGTCAGCGGACACTTAGAATAACAGCATGTGTATCCCTCCTCCCGCTCGCGCACCTGATCACGATGGGCTTTAACTCACGGCGCCCTCCAGCCTGCACAGTTGCCGCAGCGGTTGACCTCTCGAAGGCATTCGACAGTGTCGACCACCCCATCCTCCTGAGCTTGATCGCGGCCTTGGACCTAAATCACAACCTGGTCCGCTGGCTGTGCTGCTACCTCTGAGGCAGGCAGGCATCTTGCCTCTATCTCAGGACCCAATCGCCTTTCAGAGCCATCCACTCAGGGTCCCCCAGGGCTCGGTGATCTCGCCAGCCCTATTTAATCACTTCATTTCTGACATCCCAGTGCCTACCCCCAATATTGCCTCATACGTGGACAACCTCACCATCTTCGTGTCGTCCCCGAGACTCGACGCTGCAGAGGCCAAGCTTGCCTCGCTCCTTTGTAACGTCTCAGACTGGTCGGCAGTCAAGAAACTGGCCGTGGCTCCTGGCAAGTCCTCGGTCACGCTCTTCACCCCAGATACACACTAATCCCGATACCACTGGCACCCAGCTGCTGTTGCCGGTAGGCATTATTGCTTTTTCTCCACTCAACCCATCTGTGTCATTAACCAATTTTCATACTCAATGCATCCTTTTGTTTCATATTGTTTCAGAACAGAGGTAATAATTGAATTCCATTCAAGCCAAGTTTAATTCAGTAACTAAAATGCTGCCAAGACAGTTGAATGCATCAAGTTAATTCTGCAATACTGTTGGGTGAGTGAAGCTCTTCCTGATAATGTATATATATGTATGTCTTCCGTAATACTGCATTTTTCACATTTTTTTAACCATTGCATTATTTATCTGCACTAATTGAGCACAACCCTACCATAATCTAGTTAACTTTGTTGCAAGTGTTCATAGACATAATGGGGATGCAGTCCTTGTTTTACCTATATAACTTCACTTGCATTATTGTCAAATCTACTTCCAATGTTGTTTGCTTTGTGTTTATTAATTATGATTTTTGCACCAATAACTCTTGCAATCTAACTTACTATGCTAAATTATCAGTCCTTAATTTCCTAAATGTTTGTTCATTATTCAGTTGTAGCATGATTGCTTCAAGTTAATCTCTAAATTTAGGCATGATCAATTGTAACCTGCTTTGCATCATGGTCACATTATGCTCAGTAAATTTCATTTGTAATTTTTATATCTTTCAGCTGTCTGAGGACCTTATGCGCTATTGCCCGTCCTGTGCTCCCTATTTCATATCACCAGTTACCAAACACCAAGTCCCATAGACCTAAAGTACTATAAGCAATATTGTCTCTACATTCATCAGCATGTCAGTTGTATTTTAAAATCCCACAATAAAACATAA